ATCCTTTTCTCAATTAATTGGGGTCAGCTACACAAATCCTAATCCGCCATTCTACTCTGTTTAAGGTCATACCTTCAGTGAGACCATAAGTCCTCATATCTTTTCAGACTATTTCCAACCACGTCCTTTTGAGCATACCCTTACCATTTTCAATCTTTACACTTGAACCAACTCGCACTTCCTAATATGTGTGGTACTGGGTTGACGCCACACATGGCCCGCCCGCCTAAGTCTACTCTCTCTCATCTTATTGCCCATTGGTGTCACAACTAAACTTTTCCGAATGGATTCATTTCAGATTCTATCCCATCTTGTCTTGCTACTCATCCATCTCAACATCCTCATCTCCGCTATACTAATTTTATGAGTATATTGTTTTTCGTCTGTCCAATATTCTATCCCATAAAGCAAAGTTAGTCTCACATATATCTTATAGAACTTATTCTTTAACTTCATTGATATGCGGCGATCATAAAAAATTGCAGTTGCACAACTCCACTTCGCCCACCTAGCTTTAATTCTATGTGTGATATCTTCATCAATTTCTCCATTTTTCTTGATTATCAACCCAAGGTATTGAAGTGCGGTCTTTTTTGTACTTCCTGGCCGTCAATCTTAACTACTTTCTCATCTCTACTCCTATTATTACTAAACTTGTATTCCATATACTTTGTCTTAATTTTGCTAATTTTAAAACCTTTGGATTCTAGAGCATCCGTTCAAAGTTAAAACTTTGTGTTGACGCCGTTTCGGGTCTCATCAATCAAAACTATATCATCTATGAACAACATGTACCACGGTACTTCATCCAGCAGGTATGAGCTCAATATTGATTCTTGATGTAGACCTATTGTCACTGAAAACTTATTTATCTCCACTAGTTGTTTGTGCACTAGTTAGCGCTCCATTGTATATATCTCTCACCAAGTCGATGTAGTGTCTACAGACTTACTTCTTTTCCAATGCCCTCCAAATCAAATCTTGAAGTACTCTATTATAAGTTTTCTCTAGGTCAATAAAGATCATGTGGAAGTCTTATCCCTTTGCTCTAAACATTTCAATTAGTTGCCTAAGTAGAAAAATAGTCTCGGTCGTTGTCCTGGCATAAAGCCAAAACAAATTGGTTTTCAGATATTCGTTTTATGTCGTAGTCGTTGTTCAATCACTCTTTTCCGGAGCTTCATAGTATGATTTATAAGCTTGATCCTTCGATAGTTCTCACAATTCTGTATGTCTTATTTGTTCTAATAAATAGTTACCACAATACTTTTCCTCTATTCGTTTGGCATTTTTTTTATTTTCAAAACCTTGTTGAACAACTTCGTCAGCTCGTCAATGCCAATCTCCTCCATGCACTTTTAAACCTCTATAGCCAATCTCCTCCATGCACTTTTAAACCTCTATAGGGATACCATTTTATCCTAAAATTTTTCCTATCTTCATTCTTTTCAAAGCTCTTTTAACTTCTGGCGTCCAACTTGGGATCATCATATATTGGATTTATGTAATTAATGGCCCATGCCAATGGGCACTCGGCTCACTGATAGCAGTGGGATCGGGATCAGTTGGTTGACCAGATGCCTATGTACACATGAGAGAAACTTTGTATGTGCATATTAATATGTGTTTGTATGTGATATCAGGTATACATGCATCCAAATTAGTATAGGATGCATATGCATACTCGTGTATTCGGATTCCCTTCAATGATATAATATATATTTGACTTTTCATATTTTGGCTGAGACCCTACTTGATCCAATGGGTCGAAACCGACCTGGACCCGACCGCCTGGTTTACACGCTTAGCTATCATGTTGCCCTTGATACTGCATTGCCATTACCTCCTTGTAATAAAGATAAATGTTTCTCATTACATACAATCCTAATAAATAAATGGGTTGCCAAAACATTTGTATTTTGGCAAGAATCAGATTCGTTTTTGGACCTCCTATCTCTAAATAAACCCAAGCGTATACCATTGTCACTGAAAGTTCAAAATGGAAATGACTTTTTTTTTCTTTTTGGAACTTAGGTTAAAATGACTTCTACAGAGCACTATGTTTTGCTAACACAAGAAATAAAACAAACCAAAATATTTTCTTTTTGGCATGACATTTTTGGACTCTCCTATGAGATGATTTCACACTTAAATTATCTCATAGGAGTTCAGAGTTATTATTGGGGTCATCAACTCAATTTGACATGGACTGGTCTTTTGGTGGATTTGTTTGAACTTGTTGCCGTTGTTGCTTTTGCTTCTGCTCAGCCAGAATCCCTTTCCACCCTGTACATGATAGAAATTTTTCACATAGGCATTTATGCATACATGCCCACATAAATACATGCATATATGGCCACATACATATACATGGATACACATAAATTCATTTTTTAAAGGGTGCGGTTTGTATAGAACCTAGGCTCTAAACAATCAAATAAGAGCCTGCCTTCAAATAGTGTCGAGAAATGTGGTTTCAATACTGGAAATCTTTGTGATAACCTTAAAATATTTTTTCATAGTTATTTATAAAGATTTAAGCTTTAAAAATAGTGTAGATTGATAGATCTATGAAAACTTGAAAATCTTGAAAATTGACGATCCAAAAATACGTTACAAAACATGCTACTTCCAAACCTTGAAATCCAATTTTTTTTTTTTGTTTGATGTCCATACATCTTAATGTCAAGATGATCAATTTGAGGATATTTGGGTATCACAAAAACCTCTTCTAGTGAAAGTTTTTAGGTAGGCTCAAATTTAATTGTTTAGAGCCTCTGCTTTATATAATTTTTCCTTAAAATACTGCTATGGGCGAGCTTTCTATGATTCTCCTACAACATAAAACTTATATATTTCCCCTTATCCAACCCTCCATTCTGAATGGAGGGCTAAGATTGCTCCAATCACAATGTCACGTCTTTGTACTATTTTATTTTTAATTTTTTTTTCTATAAACTATTTTGACACCAAATTTTAGACATCTAACCCTCCATTAAACGCACACTAGCAAAAAATATAAAAACAATATTTTCAATAAAATAAAATGACTAAAATACCCCTAAAAACTTCAAGGGGTAAGCTTTCAGGGGTAGTTTGGTTATTATATTTTATTGAAATTTTATTTTTAATATTTTTTATAGGTGCGCCCCAATGAGAAGATGACACGTGCTAAATTTCATATTCATACAATTTGTATATAAAAAATTAAAAATAAAATGCTTTAAGATGTCGGATCTAATATCAAATGGTGAGTGGCTCTCTTGATCAAAATTGGATGGTTGGATGGTAGGGGAAGCATAGATCTTTTATGTTATAGGGGAAGTATAGAAACCTTTTCCTACTGCTATTGCTGTAGGTAACTATCCCCAATATGTTGTAATTTACGCTAATGTCTCAATTTTTTCCCCAAAATGTTATTGGTTCGGACTTTCAAAATTCAAAATAGAAGTATTAAGAAATTGGTTCCAAAAATGAAATTCCGAGCTGGTTTTCTGTCCATAATCTGGTCCAGATTTTGAAACTCTGAACCACCTCCGAACCGGATTGTTCAGATTTTCAAAATCCAAACCCAAATCCTCACCCTAAATAACCAATCTCTTTTCCCTCTCTTTTGTTATGTTCAAAAATCGATTTGGGTTTTCAAATCCTAGCTAGAATGTAGACTAAAACTTGGTCTGAAATTACAATTTTCAAAATTATTTGTTGATAGTTTTAGTTCAGATTTTGAAAGTCCAAATCGATGGCATTTTGGGAAAAATTTTGAAAAATGGACCATGAGTGTAAATTATAATATAATGGGGGATAAGTATTTAATTTTAAAAAGATAGAGGATATTAGTGTAAATTTTCCTTTTCTTATCGCACCCATGCTTTTAATTAATTATGGACAAATGTTTACGCAGGAGTATTGGACTTGGACTCACCAAGGTCTTAGAGTATCTTGGTTTGACTCAATCGAGTCTGAGTTGGATCAGGTAAAACTAAATAGATAAATAAAAGAATTTTAACAAAAAAAAGTATACAACGAAACCATTTATTTTTAGTACAAGAAATTCACTATCAATCCTACTCATCATATTTTAAATCGGATAATTGTAAATATGTGTTTGGCTAGACCCAAAGTTCAAACAGTCATTTCTTGTATTTCGTGGCACTCTCCAAGCCATCCAATTTGACATCTAAAGGTTATGAGTGATTATGACATCTTTGTAACAATGTTGAATAGTCTCATTCTATACAATCTGTTTTAATAAATGATAGTACATATGTTATTCTACAGTTTTCTTGCTTGAAATTGCCTGATTCTAAATCCACTCTGACTCAAGGCAAGTCCCGAGCAGTATTGGTGATTATTGTCAATCACATGTTTTTGACAAACATGTGTACATGTATGAATGCATGTGTGGAGAGAGAGAGATACTCTTTATGTTTGTGAACAATGTTAAATTTACAAATGATGTCTATAAAGAGATCATTTATCTTTTGTACATAGAAGTCACAATTATTCCTACTCATTAAATGTCAAATTGAATGGCTTGGGATAAGTCCTGAAGTCTAAGAATTTTTCTTTTTCGGAATTTTGTGTCTATTTAATGACAGTCTTGCAACTACCCATTTTGAAATTGAAAGGACAAGAATAATTGCGACTTCCATGTACAAATAATAAATGGTCTCTTTATAGACAACAAATTCCCCAATTGCATTCCCTTAACAGAATTTGATGTTTTCTTCTCTTAAGTCTATTTTCTAGATTTTTTAGTGTAAAATCACTAATAAAGGCATAAAAACTTTTACCTAGTGAAGGATCAAGTCCCCTGTTGTTTAGCTCTCTAAACTCCTGACACAAGGCACAACATGGGCAACAACAATGTGCAATCCAATCCTCAGTTGGGGCCTCCACCAAATTGTACTTTTTTCTCAATTTCTTCCTATAAATGGTTGCCATAATCCAATGGTTGCACATTGCTACAGATAGAAGTGCGTAAAGGGGGCAGTTCATGGCACATGCTGCAAAAGAAAAAAGAAAAATATAAATGAAGTTAAAATTAAAAATATCATTTAAGCATCGGTCAATACATCCCAATTAACATTAAGTACTTTACTTTTTAATTTATATTTTGATTAGGTACTTGATAAAAAATCGTTTTAGAAATACTCAAATTATCCTTATTCAGTATTGAGTACCCTAAATAAGTATTAGTACTTCAATAATTTGACCCACCTAAGAAGCCAAGAGGCCTCAACCCATGACATGAGAACTTCAAACTATTTAAGGTAGGCTATATTATTGAAATTCTCATGATTGTCCATATTTCCCAACTAGCAATCAAGGCATATTTGAGATATTTTATGAGGTATTTGAGTGACATGAATATTAAAAGTACGTATTAATTGGTATCTTTTAACTCCTTAATGATTTTGCAAGAGGTTTTGATACGTTAACTAATGCTTTGCAAGGAACCTATACTTGCAAATAGACAAAAAAAAAAAAAAAAATAGCTTTGCAAAGAACCTATATACTTGCAAATAGACAAATGAATGGCTAAGATTAGATCAAACTTTAGATGAAATAAATCAATGGCCAATAAATAGAAGTTTTTCTCTCACTTGTTTCACCACTATCCAGAACCTCTGTGATTTGGCCAAACGTCACACACGGACAAAATGCAGTTACCAGAGCTGCAATGACAGAGTTAGCGAAAGACAGCAATAAAAATAAAAATCAAAAGAACTAAAATTCAAGTAAACATGCATTTGATTGCTTACTTTCCACTTTCTAACTTAAATGGAACAGATTTGGATGGTGTAGATTTGAAAATAGATTTGGATGGTGTAGATTTGAAATAGATTTGGATAGTGTAGATTTAATAATATCTTAAAAGATGTGACACATTTAAATACGCTCTTAAAATAGCGTTCTAGCAATGTGCAACCCTTCATATACATATATAGGGTGAGGTTTGCTTAATGTTGCAACTTTAAACAGTCAAATAAAGGTGCACCCCCAAATTTTGTCACAATTTTTAGGGTCAAAATTTTAAGATGACCCAAAAATCTATTTTCATCTCCAATTATTAATTTTTAAACTGCAAAAAATAGTTCAAGGTAAATGGTTTCAGTGTAAGATCTATAAATGTATGAAAATCCTGAAAATAGACGGTCCAGATTGTTGCAAGATGTACTATTTTTGGGACTTAAAATCTTTTTTTTTTTTTTTCATATCCATATATATCGGTGTTAAGATGATCAATAAGATGGTTTTCTAATGTCAAAATAGTATTTTCCAATGGATTTTGCAAGCGCACTTTAATTCTACAATTTAAGATCATCATCATTATCATCCAAGTTTTATCCTAATTATTTGGAGTCATCTTTACTTATGGGGTTCGTCAAAATTTGTATGGCTCGGGATTCGAGCCAATCGGGCAATTCCCGGCGGACTCAACAACTTCCAAATCACTTATTAAAAGTGAAACGAGAAAATATGGAATTGTGTAGTTTAAGTCTTGAACGTTTGAAAGGCATCAAACCATTTCATGATTACTGCTAAACAATTCATGAGTTAAGAGCATAAGAGATTTTTATACTAAATAGTTGAGATAAAACTTGAATCATGATGAATAGTCTTTCCGAATGGAATAAAGTCCCAATTATTTGGGGAAATAATACTATGATCCAGATGAGATATGACCATTAAAATGGGTAGTCCTAAGTGCCTATCACCATGCAATAAATGAATTGGTGTCAATGGAGAGCGAGTGAGGCCTTAAGGTATGTCCTATTGGTGGGCCCCACTCTCCCTTCATTAGCATTCATCCATTGATTGGAAGGTGATGATGCCTACCACCAACAAGTTTTCCATGGTCATATGGATCATAGTCTGCTATCTCATTAACGCTTTGCACGATTTGGGACAATAGAAAGAGAAGAGATAGGGCCCATGGCAAACTGCTCACCACTTGTTGGGTGATCCTCACAGTCAAAGAGGCCAGTCGTCCAAGGGTTGCCGATCTCCTGAACTTCATTATCCTGCGGTCGATGTTCTCCAGTCCCTGTAGGGGCCATAGTCCCGGACACACTGCCAGAAAACTGGTCGGAATCATGATTTTTCACTGGGAATCGAACAGGAGGCGGAAAAGGAACCGGAGGAGGGGGTTGGTCATAGACTACAATGGCTTGTGATGGAGGAGGGGTAGGTTCATCTGATGATGGGTTATCTGAATTTTGAGGCATGGGACTCTGGCCACTGTCTTGAAGGCGTACTTGGCCCATTGTGTGCGTGTTTGTGTGTGTTTGAGTGTGAGAAAGAGAGAGAGGAGAGAGGCAGTAACAGAAGTTGAGAGAAAGGGAGAGAGACGCAGCAACAGAAGTTGAGAGCGCAAGAAGCAGGTAACTTTAGAGAGAGAGAGACGCAAAAACAAGTTGACTTGAGATGCAGAAACAGGTAACTTGAGAGAGAAACAGAGACAGATGCAAAAACAGGTCGTGCGTGTGTGTGTATACATATATATATATATATATATATATATATATATATATATATATATATTATATATATATATAAGANAAGAGAACAAGAACGAAGAGAGAGAGACAGAATAA